ACATAATTATGCTATCCTTTTATACAACTGGCAGTGCAGGTTTGTTTACACCAGCATTACCACAAACATGTGAGTAACGTGTTATGCTACAATCTTATGATGTCACTAGGCAACAGGAATTTTTCAGCTCCATTAAAATCTTATGAGACCACCATCATATATGTGGTTCATTATTGACTGAAACATCATTATGTGGCACATGACTGTATTTGTAAATCTCCTGAAAAGGGGCATGGCACATGTATTTGTCATATTTATTTGACTATGGTGCCCTTTTCCAAGAGACATTTCACCAAATTAATAACTTCCTAGCCATTGGTCTTATTTATACCATCTCAAATGGCACAAAAGTCTCCTTTATATAACAGGACAAATAATACATGGAGAAAGACAGTAGATGATTTTATTTCCCTTAGGGCTTCTCGTTTTCAGTATAAACATGTCTTGTTTCTTCGTTTGTCATATAAAATGAATTTGAGTCTCTATACATTCTCTCATAAAATACAATGTCCTATGCTGAGTGCAGTACTGCGTGTGGTCTGAGAAGTGCAAAATTGATCAGGATTATCAGCTTCCTTGTTTTAAACACAATACATATGTCAATGCAGTCTAAGATATCCCTGGTGTTGAGTCAGTTTTCCTGAGGATAAAAGAAACAATCAACAATAATATATTTTGAACTTTTAAGAGAAAAAAACGCTAAATACTCATAAGAGAAAATCATTTTCTTATATGCTATCTAAATGGAAAAGGGGAGTCAAGGAAAGCAGGCCAATTCAGGTAACTCCGGTTACCCAGTAACCAGAAAGCAGGCTAATTCAGAAGGATAAACAACTGGAAGGTAATATAGCAGGAAAGAGATCTTCTAATCCCAGCCTAATGAAATTACCAAGAGCATTCCATAATCATCTTCTATGTATTTATTTGTACCAGGAGACAAGGTAATATAATACTGAGGACTCTAGATGGACTAAGCTGGCAAGTATATTTGATCTCACTCGCCAAATCTGGTCAATTATTAATAGAAGATACCACTTGGAGTAAGAATCTGACTAGTAGGAAAAATACCATTTTAGCTTAGTTATGTCTGCCATAATAGGGAACAGAAGGTGGTGGCAGAGTATTTGCCAGTCCTCATCAAAGTACTTTGGAAATCTAATGGACCTTACATGACGATACTAGAATTAGACTTTTTTAAAAATGTATAAACAAAATAAAGGAGGAGGTGTCAGCTTTGATCTACAGGATGAAATCAAACTATCTCTTCTCAAAACACCAAGCAATTTCTAGTCTGCAAGGGCTTGCGTTAGGACTTTTAACTAAAGCAGTGATGTCTGAAACTAAAGTTGATCACTTCCCTCTGCCTCCTTCTCCTTAAATTGTGAGTTAACTCACAGCTGTCAGGAATGATGTGCATGCTTTAATCAGGGATCACATGACATGGCAAGTATACAGAATGTAAATGTGCTTGAGAACACAACATTGAGGTGTTATATACAACATGCAGTTTTCCCATTAAAGGAAATCAATAAAAACCTATACCTTTTTTTCTTCAGATTCAGTTAGGAAACACTCTTATTAAAGAAAATATTTCAAACCTAAGGCTTATGCACACCCTCCACACACAATAAGTATATTTATTCAAAAAACCTAACTACTTTTTCATAATTTCAGAATAAGCTCTAGTCCATGTTTTCTCTTCAAAAGAAAACAATAAAAATTAAATGAAATAAAAAGGTGGAACAAGTCACGAAGATGAATAGCAGATGACCTCTGCCCTCAAGGTTTTTCAGTGCAAGAGGTAACAAAGATAAGAGAGATATACAAAGAACTCTATTGTAAGACTGCTCATGATGGATGCTCTTTGAGGTCAGAAGACAGACATATTTCTATTGGGTGTGTGGTGGGGGATCAGGGGAAGGACCCCTGAAAAGTGTATTTGAGCTGGCCTTTTAAGGATTGGCAGGATTAGGACATGCAAACATGGCAAGGAAAGACATCCTAAGGAAACAGTGAGTGAGGGCCTGGAATTAAGGAGAGCAAGGGGCATATATGAAGCACAGTGAGTGGGGTCAGTAGGGCCAGAGTGTAAGACGCAAAACAGGAAGAGTAGGAAAGTGGCCAACTGGCATATAATGGTGGCACTTAATGCTAGGCTAAGATATTTGAACAGTGTGGTAGCCATTCAAGGTTTTAGACCAATACTTAGGGGAGAATAACTTAAAAAACTATGTATATATACAACAGATTTGGGGGTAGGACAATGGGAAAATGAAGGGAGAAAGGGCAGGTAAAAGGTTACTTACAATAGACCAGCTTAAGAAATAATGAGATCATGCATTCAAGTGGTGGCATTAGGAATGGATAGGGACAGATGTGAAAGATATGGATAATGGATGATTTCTTTGGCCATGCACCTTGTTCCTCGGT